AACCATACATCCGGCAACCAAGCGGTAGGTCATTAGCCGATTGAGGGCCGTAGTGGCGGAGCACAATACGTACGCGCTTAACGCAAAACCGGACCAGGGCAAAGTCTTCGACGCGACTTCCTCTCATGGAGCGAGCAATCGCTTCAGTACATCAGTTTCGTCGACTGGCACTTTATGCATCGCGCGCACGCCTCGACGTAATCCCTTTAATTGGGCCTCGATTGGGTGACGGCGACCGGAGTTGCCGGCGATGCGGTTAACCCAATCGGAGACGTTGCCCCACGTGCACTGCCACTGCAGCCCCCACGTAGTCACTCGGCAGTTGCGCCACAACGCAGTTGTCGAGAGACATGCCGCGGCCTTCAGGCTCCTCGGGGAAACAAGTGGTAGTATGTCTCGGGATTGTCGTGACATACGAGACTGGCGTCATTGTGGATGTGAACGTGCCCTTCGAAAACGACTTCGAGGTACTCAAGAATGCGAGACTCGGGAAAAATACGCAACTCGCATAGTACCAGCCCCTCGCAGACGCGAGGCTTGGGAACGGTTAAATTGTGCATGCAGACGGCTTCATCGTCGCCATGGATGCCTGGCACCAGTATAACAAGAATGTAAACGGTATGATGTCTTGATGGGAAAACTGGCGGTGTCAGAGACTATCGCTTTGCCCCGACATGTACGTCGAGCATGCATATCTCTGTAATTCGAGAGTAGAGCGTGCTGGAGTCAGCCGCGAAAGACGCGCAAACGCGTCCGCGCGCGTTAGTGAGCACGCAAACAATACCGTCAGCACCAATGAACACGTCTCCGAGGCGACGAGAGCGTAGTTACACATTGGCAATTAGCAATTAGCAACCAGTAACCAGGAAGGTCAACTAACGCTTGTGCCTGCACGTCGGCGGGAACTGTTGCAACCTCACCCCCTACTATCTTTCTTTACACGTCTCTCATCTCTTTCACTCCTGCATTACAATAGACTCGCTGAAAGTACATCCACTCCTTCAGTATAATAGAAAAAACAAGGCCTTTATATGATTCTTAAAGTTTCACCAGACACTCATTTCAATAGAAGCCTCCATAGGTCTGATACTCCACACCACGTCGACGCGTTTAATCGGAGGTTCGTGCGTGGGAACGAAAGGGACTCTTCCCTCAACATTTATGCTGACACCGCAAAGTCGTGCTCCGGTATTCATGTCAGCGGGAGACTTCCCATTCTTTTGTTTTTCATTTTCTAACTAACCTCCGTTGTCATTTCTTTTTACTCTCTCCAACGTCCTTTCTTTTATTTTATTTTATTCTACACTATTTATTTTCTACGTGTTTCTTTTTTTAGCGTTATAGTTCATTTTCTTTTTATTTTGCATTTTATTCTAGGTTATC